AAAATCTCAGCACATCTGCATACATGCTGGTCAGCTTCTTCTTCCCCTCCATGTCCAATATGCCTCTGCTTAAATCATTTTTTTGCCTCTTAGTAAGGCTGTCAAAGAATGACTTGAATATAATACAAAAGCTATTTTTCAGTAGCATTACTTTCTCAGCAAAGTGTTCCTCTTCATCATCCATTTCCAAATGATTGCAAAGGGACGGAATTGTGTCCATATTAATTATCCCCTGCTTTGTGTCGATCGTTACAACCTCACTGGAGCACATTGAGGTGGATGGAGATGAATCTTTAGGAAGGGGAGAGCTAAATCTCATCTCTCTAACCTCTGCAGAAGGTGGTGTGTTATTTCTAACATGTTCTTCCACCATGACCTCAGGCTTCACAAATGAATCGGTGGAGGACGAAGTTGAAGGAACTTTCTCTTTCTCTGATTCATTTTGCTTCCAAATAAGAAACCTAGCCTTACACTCTGTTTGATTTTCAGCTTCCATGTCGCGGGCTGAAAAATACTCATCAGAATACTCATCCAACCTCCGGCAGTATTCTTCATAGTCTATGCCTTTGGCTTCCCACATGGCTTCTTTCTCGTCTATCTCTTGGAGGCCTTCTAAGGCCGTCTTCATTGCGTCCTGGAGGAGCCATACGGCATATTCATCTGCGTCAATTTCTGCTTCCTCTTCTTCTTCCACCATATAATTTTTGTCATTCTTCTCTTCAGATTCTCTACACATATCCTTGGTCTTGTCTTGGACAGGAGCATCAGTCTGGGTAGAGGAATTGTCTCTAGGTGCTAAAGATGCTGCTTCCACAAGGACAGAGCTCGGGTCTTCTTGCTCAGCAAAGTTTTCCTCTGTATTAGCAAACTCAAAAAGTTCATCCATTTCCAAATGATTGCAAAGGGACGGAGTTGTGTCCATATTAATTATCCCCTGCTTTGTGTCGATCGTTACAACCTCACTGGAGCACATTGAGGTGGATGGAGATGAATCTTTAGGAAGGGGAGAGCTAAATCTCATCTCTCTAACCTCTGCAGAAGGTGGTGTGTTATTTCTAACATGTTCTTCCACCATGACCTCAGGCTTCACAAATGAATCGGTGGAGGACGAAGTTGAAGGAACTTTCTCTTTCTCTGATTCATTTTGCTTCCAAATAAGAAACCTAGCCTTACACTCTGTTTGATTTTCAGCTTCCATGTCGCGGGCTGAAAAATACTCATCAGAATACTCATCCAACCTCCGGCAGTATTCTTCATAGTCTATGCCTTTGGCTTCCCACATGGCTTCTTTCTCGTCTATCTCTTGGAGGCCTTCTAAGGCCGTCTTCATTGCGTCCTGGAGGAGCCATACGGCATATTCATCTGCGTCAATTTCTGCTTCCTCTTCTTCTTCCACCATATAATTTTTGTCATTCTTCTCTTCAGATTCTCTACACATATCCTTGGTCTTGTCTTGGACAGGAGCATCAGTCTGGGTAGAGGAATTGTCTCTAGGTGCTAAAGATGCTGCTTCCACAAGGCAGAGCTCGGGTCTTCTTGCTCAGCAAAGTTTTCCTCTGTATTAGCAAACTCAAAAAGTTCATCCATTTCCAAATGATTGCAAAGGGACGGAGTTGTGTCCAAATTAATTATCCCCTGCTTTGTGTCGATCGTTACAACCTCACTGGAGCACATTGAGGTGGATGGAGATGAATCTTTAGGAAGGGGAGAGCTAGATCTCATCTCTCTAACCTCTGCAGAAGGTGGTGTGTTATTTCTAACATGTTCTTCCACCATGACCTCAGGCTTCACAATTGAATCGGTGGAGGACGAAGTTGCAGGAACTTTCTCTTTCTCTGATTTATTTTTCCTCCAAATAAGAAACCTAGCCTTACACTTTGTTAGATTTTCAGCTTCCATCTCACGGGCTGAATAATACTCATCATAATACTCATCCAACCTCCGGCAGTATTCTTCATAGTCTATGCCTTCGGCTTCCCACATGGCTTCTTTCTCTTTTATCTCTTGGAGGCCTTCGAAGGCCGTCTTCATTGCATCCTGGATTAGCCATTCGGTATATTCTTCTGGGGTAATTAATGCTTCCTCGTCTTCTTTCACCATATCATTTTTGTCTCTAGGAGCTAAAGATGCTGCTTCCTTTTCCATGTTAGATGGATCCATTGTGCTTTGTTTGAGATTAGACTTTTTCTGTTGAGAGCTTTTTGAAGTTTTCCCCTTCCTTCCTTTCTTTTTGTTTGATTTCATGACTGTTCGCTTTGATGAACTTCTCTGGGTTCAGTTAAAGGGATATAGTTATTCTGATAAATTTGACTGTCTGTTCACAATCTTGATCTGAAAATCCTAAATCTAATTATAAGCGAGTTATGGATTGTTACGTCACACATCAAAGCGTCTACTCAACCCTGTTGACACAATGATGACGTATGTTAGCGATCGTACGCGCCTGCGCAGTTTGGCACCGGAAGTACGGCGAGGTGCGCGAAACTATGCGAGGGGATTTACAACAAAATATTATGATACCTAAACCAGCTGACTTTGTCAAGTTGTAAAACACTTCCAGGTTCGTATGGTATTAGAAACTACAGAAGTTAAGAGCACAAGTCAGTCATCAGTGGTCATATTTATAAAATGTCAAACAAGAAGACAGCCGCTCCTCGAGTTTACATGGTGAAGTGAGCCGCCCCTAAATTTCAAGTGCCCACGTATTCTGATCTTTATGGTAAATGCTCCGGACTCCAGAGCGAGCAGGAGGAACAGACAGAGAGAGCGATGAAGTCAAGTGCTAAATGTCTAGGTCTTACCATAAAACTGACTATGAGATACACGTGTATGAAACGGGAGTAAACACAATACTGTTCAGGGAATAGCTTCGGAGGTCGGGGAAGTTAGTGTGAGAATAATACTGCGAGTCTGCGGTAACTTCCGTTTTTCAAAATAAGGTGTTCACAATTAAAAAACAAAACAAAACAGTTTTTTTGGAGAAAACAATAATTATATATATTTCTTACCTAAGTAAACAGTGATTCTGATATTGCACAGGTACTATGAAGTACTTTTACTGTGTGCTTTCTGAGAAATCCACTGTCAAAGTCCCTTATAAATCACTATAATGAGCCTTTTTTTCTGACTTTGATGTCTTGTAAAAACATTTTCCTCCATAAGTACACAATGATTCTGATATGGTTGGACTTAGTACTTCTTAGACTACATGCACAGGTACTATGAAGTACTTTTACTTACCATGAAACTTAGAATAGCCTTAACAACAACAACAACAACACAAAGCACTGTCAGTAAAATAGTGGTGGTATGAATTTCTATCACGCAAACTACTGGTGTGTATAAGGAATTATACAAACACAAGATTAATAACATACATAATCTTGAGAGTCACGTCTGTTGTATTCATTGTTGTTGTTGATGCTCTGTTTGTTTCTATCCATCTCTTTCTTTCTACATCTCCCTCTATCCCAGTTTACAAGCCCAGCCTAAATATTTAAAGCCTTTGAGCCCAGCGTAGTTTCAGCAGACGTCCGTTCAACATGAGTCCGGTTCTGCTTGCGGTTTCTGACTCCTAAACGCAGTTTTTTTCTTGCCACTGTAACTTCGCTAAATGTTGCTTAGTGCTCACATTTCAGACAGTCGAGCAAAATATAAGAAGGTAAAAACAACTGAATGATATGTAAAAAGCCAAAAATGAGTTTTATTTTGCAGAAATTACACAGAAACTTTATGGACACAAGCAGCCCTTTCCATTCATTCAGACTCAAAATAAAACAACAATTTAAACTTTTGTTTAACGGTTTCACTGAAGACATTTGATTGATTTATAAAGAGTGAAACAGAAGTGCGGATGTATAAATGTGTGTTGTACACATATTCGTCTGCCTGTGTCTTCCCTCTCACATGAAGGGTGTGGGGGTCTCTCAGCAAAGGGAGCTGATCTCGCTCTTGCTGCAGCCCCACTTGCAGCAGGCGTTGGACAGGCCCACCACCACGTCCCGGCCCTTGCGGTCAGCCTTGCGAAGGGCTTCCAGGATCTCCTCTGTGATGAAAGAACGGGCCTTCCTGCTAAACACGGGTTGTCTCTGGGTGTGATGCTTAAATCTCTGGTCCCCTGGAGGAGACCCTCCACCACAAAGTTGTGACTCACGCCCTCTGAGGATTCATCCTGACGGGAGCTGAATGGGTCCTCTGAAGAATCTGCTGCACGGAAACAAGAGGAAGCGTCATAAAACATGCAGGCTTCTCTAATACAGGGGAAACAGTTTAATCATTTTCTGTATAAAATCAAATGTAGAAATGATGGAGCATGTGAGTGACACAAGCCGGAGGGACATGGGTAAGTTTACTGAATTATGTCCTGAAGTTGTACATTCATTTTATAGTATATAGTACAGTATAGTACCTGCCCAGTGTTTCCGAGTGCATACATAACAATAATAATAATAATAATAGAATGTACATAAGATCGGGGTATTAGATTTGTTTATTCAAATATAACATAAATAAATATAAATAATAAATCCAAATAATAGCATAACATGTTTCCCCTTTGGCATCTTACTACAGACTGTGACAGCCTGACAGAAAGCCAGTTGTGCCTTACTTTCAAATTATATACAGAGCGCTCATTTGACTGCTCCACAGCCTACTTGTTGCAAAGTTTGCAAGATGTGTTTGAACATTTTATTTTATGGGGCTTTCTGAAAAAATATTCCAATGCCCTATTACATGAGAAGGCCTCAGGATGGGGTCCGTTTATGGAGATCCTCAGGCAGGCAGCCAGGTGTTCACCTTGAAGCTGGTTTCAGGTCTGTTTTCACCTGAGGATAAAGCAAAGAAAATACCACAAACTGCACTAATATGAAGAAAATGCATGATTATTTGTTGTCCTGTTCAAGGTCATGCTCTTACCCTGTTCACCGTTGAGAAATCACGTTGTAATTGACACAGGAAACGGGTAAAACAAGTGCAATGCCTGCAAGGAGGCTCAGACAGGGTAGAGGTTGGTCCACTCATCAAACTCGCTTGCCAGCAGACTCATGATCTCCTGGTTATTGTTCTTGAAACAACATTTGGTTTACCAAGGCATTAGTCTATGTGTGTGTATTGTGAACTGTAGTTGATTGTAGTCAGAATCAGCTTAATTGACCCACCGTGAATGCCCCAGGAAGGACATGATTTTTGAACGAGGACCACTCCTGCAGGACCTCATTCTCATGTTCAGGGCAACATTTCCTGGCAAGAGTCCGCAGATGAGAGATGTTGATTGTATCATCTTGTAGAGTGGTTGATTGCGGTGCGGGTCCCAAGATACTGAAGGCCCCAAGAATGTCCAGATCATGAAACCTCCTCTCCAGGTGTGTTTCCAGGCCAGTTATGTAAGGGTGGATGACCTACAATGAATAAATCAACATATTTTTAGAAAGAGCCTACACCCACTGTTACCTCCGTCATTAAGGGCCAGGCCATAGTCTATTCAGGAGTATAAATTCCATTTTCTCTCATTCATAGTTTCAAAATTGGACATTTACCTCTCGCTGGGTTCTGGCTCACTGCTCCTCCCTCAGCGCTTCATGACATCTCGCCCTCTCCTATTCCTCTCCTCCTCGTGCTGGCTCCGAGTCCTTGGGGATCATCGAGGTCCTGATGGAGGCGAGGCAGGCATGATCCAGGGAGTGGAGTCTGTCCAGCCAGAGACTGAATTGTGACAGGAACCTATATATAAAAAAGAAAAGATGCTGTTAAGTATTGGTCAGACCTGCAAACAACCCTCATTTCAATGTGTGAAATCAAACAGATTTGAATAAATAGATGATAATATAGATAATAAACACATTAAGCTTACCTGCTCCTTGATTTGTAAAAAGTTGACATTTGCTTTTTGAAAGATTTTGGACAGACATGCGAGGTGGGGCAAAACATCAGCCTGGAGGTAAACTGCTGCCGCTTTATCTGTATGTAGCACAGAATGTGTAGGGTCCCTTTGCCACTGGACATCTTCTCATCTCTGCCTCCTCTGCCAAGGCTCCAAGGAATGCACTCAAGTTCCTCAGTAGGGTCTCGATGACCCTGTGCTGAAAGAGCCAGCTTGTATCCTTCACTTCCTGAAAATGTTGCAATAAAGGACAGAATGATTAGTTATGAATAGACAGAAGATAACTACAATGGTATCAAATAACTATTACCTTTATTTTCAGATCACTGACACCCAGGGTAGCCGATGCTGCCCCGAGTGTTGCAGTACGATTTGCACTGTTTCTGAAAAATAAATGAAGTTCTTAAAGGTGGTCCCTATTCACCCCCATTGAATAGGGACCCCATTCACACGCCGCCAAAATGTATATAAAATCAATGAGTGACAAGCATGGGATACAACAGACAAAACAAGCTCACATAGGCATTAAATATTTACCTGTCATCACGGCTGCCCCCTCAGTCCCAAGTCCATAGAGTTTCTCTGTTGGGAGGCCCTTCCTCAAGATTACATCCTTGATGGCTGTCACAACACAGAGTCTGCTTTGCCATCGTCAATAGAGACCAAGTCCAGGAATTGACTCAACACATGTCCCTCTTTATCCAGGTATCTGAGAGAAAGCAAAGGCAAGTATTTAGTATTAAAAGTTCATTCGGACCAAGGATGTATGCAATTCTAAAATCAGACAAAATAAATGGTCCTATAGCAGACATGCAAATGAAGCAGTCTGGACATAGAGACATCAGTGCTAGCCTGGAAGTCGGCTCCTCGATGACTCCTGCTAAGATCTCAAGCATTCCGTCAATGATACGATGAGATCTATAATTATTCCTCTGGTCAATCTGACGTTGGGAAAAGTAAAATATAAAATATTAAAAAATGTATTCATTAATGTTAAGATTGAATTAAATTTGAAATTATGGCTAGGGGACCTTTACCTTTAATCTCTTGAAATAGTTACATCCTAGAAGCTCAGCCAGGCTCAACAGCTTTGGGTAGTTTGTGTGGGGGGCCAGTTACTTTTTTATGAGCCAGTAAAGGCCCTTGAACCCACCAATGATTGCCTCGTGCTCTAAAACAACAGTTGGCTCAGAGGAATCCATCATTGAGATGCCTGTAAATGACAAAGTTATTAAAAATGGATTTGAATATACTGAAGTTATTACAAAACGGCTGTTGAAATCAGAACCCACCAGATGAAACAAGAGGCCTGACATCTGATGCTCTCCTGGTGGTGCTTCAGTGACGTGCCGTTCCAAGTAATCTTTTCTGTATACAGTCACTCCGACCTCAAGAAAAGCTCTCTTTGCCCTGCCTTTCTTATTTGCAGCACAGTCAACAAAACATCCCTAAAAAGTAAAGCAATCATTGATCAAATTAGCTAAATATCCACAGATATACCTGTTAATTTATTCTTTTTTTGTGATTGAATTATGCACAACACAATAAGATCACATATAATAACAAGTAGCTAAGGAAATAAGAAAGAAAATGGGGGGAAAAAAAGATTATTCATGATAGAACAAATTATGCAGGTAAAAATGTAACTTACCATGCTGTGTGTGGTACAGCCAAGTCTTTGAGGCATTCTCAGCCACTCTGGATCAGTGCCTCTGTGCTTGATGTCCTGTCTACAAAGCACAGAAGAATAGAAATGAGGCCTATTTCTAAGGAAATGTGCTTTTCTGACCTGACCTGCTTCTGCATCTGTGTTTGCTGTTGTCCTCCTCTCCTATTTCTCTCTCTCCATTACCCACATCCTATCCCATCCTGACTCTCCCTAGCAGTGCTTTTAGCTCTCGCAGCAATGTGTACTGTGTAACTATATTAATAACCATATTAATTTTCACTGAACTCATTTACAGAATATAGCAGTAGAAATATAAAATATAAATAACATATGGAATGAAAATAAGATATAAAGCACATAGATATAAAGTATAAGAAATAGTTTGAAGAATACAGCCATGTACTGAGCTCATGTTAATAATAAATGAGTTACTGTATGTTCTGTACTAAAGCACAGAGAGTTGGGACCTGTTAATGATTTAAATAATTCAGGTTATATTTGTTTCATGTTAAGATGAAGTACTATCCACAATAAGCTGCTTAATTTTTCCTCACCCAAAATCTGAGATCATTTGATGTGGAATATCATTGTGTGAGTGAGTGAGAGAGCTGAAAATAGAATGATTACAATAAGGTTTATCTTCTTAACTTTGAATAGATGTTGATTACCTGAATACTGGACCTTTGTTGTCTGGGTAGTACACTGTTGAATTTATAAATGTAATCTTACACACAGATGAATACAGAAAAATAGATGAGAACAAAAAAAATGATTTAATGAATAACTGATATTTTCTCTCTTTCTTTGCCATCCTGAAGACCCCTCACTAAAAGTCCATGTTCTCCTGGATCCGTGTCACATGTTCGAGCTTCTTCAGAATGACATTTCAACAGTCAAGTTCTGGTGAGAGAAGATCGCCAGCAGATAAGACAGCAGTACATCAAGGAGCTCCACAAGCTTCAGGAGGAGGAGGAGGGTTTGCACCTTGGAAGACTGTATTCATGCTTCAGCTGTTCAAATAAAAATAGATCTCCTCCAAACAACTTGCAATCAAACCATTTTCTTCCCATTTTAAAACCCTTTGTCCAGTTTAGATGGGAGAAGTTGATATTATGTGATATTGATCTGGGAAGACTACATTTCTAAATCATTTTTAACTGTGCTTTTATTCACAAGTTATTGATCTTATTTACTCTCCATGTATATTGATTTAAGAATGGGGCTGTGTTTAAGGTCATCATTTTGCAATGACTCTGTTCCATCCCATTTTAAGAAATGAACTGCATTAGTATTTATCAAAAGAATAAAAAGTTGTGTAAAAGTAGACTTCCTTCCCTAAGCTATTGAGTTGAGCATTAATGCACATTTTAGTCTTGTCATTTCAAATCTGAAATGTATACTCATAAGTAGACATAAAGGAGTGCATTTATATAGAAATATTTATTTAATCTGAAAAACAACATTAAAAAAAGTCTGTTTTATAGCAGAGATTAACATGTTTACAGCTTGGTACAAAAAAACAAATAGGTGTGATTAGCTCATGTCTCGATCGACACACACTGTACGGGGGGTGAATGTTTTGATGACTCATCAGTTTTGATTTGATGAAGGATAAGAGTTATTCACAATAAGGCGTGTAGCTGACCAGCTTGACAGGCGGGCGCGGTGTAACGGTTTGTCAAGAGGCTTAAAACACGTCTCAGCTCTCAGTCTGTGGGTGTCATCACTCAGGCCATCCGGGGGAGACCTCCCTCACAGCGAGCTGTTGAAGAGAAGCAACCGAAATCCACCCCAGAAGAACCAACAAATGCAGATGTTGTTGAAGCTCAGGTTTCTTCCTCTGTCTCTGCAGCTCTCTGGGCACCTCGACGGACCAGTCACCAATAATCCACACTGTGTCTATAGGAGAAATACAAAGGTGTTCAATTAATGCCTCAGACAAGACAAAATGTACAGTTAACTACATGTGACAGTTCAGGGTGTTTTTTTTTTATTAGCCACATCTGCAGGAATAATATTGAACAAGGTAGCTGCAGCTCATCATAATAGATGCCAGTCTTAACACTATTTTTTCTAATACTTAAATTTTTTGGTGTGAAGCTGACACTGTCCACAGACTCCATGACTTCACGGGGTTCAATAGAAAACAAATGTCTTATAATAAATGACAAAGGGTTTTTAATTGAGGATATGCTGGCAGAGGTAGGGGCATCACTGATCATCCCCCCACTAAAAACCGCCCCTCAGCTCAGCACATCAGACACTGGAAAAACTCAAGCTATTGCCTGCCTGAGAGTGTTGGTGGAGAGGATAATACGACGTGTCAAGGAATACCATATCTGGGATGGGGTTGTTCCTCTCTCCTTGGCCGGCTCCATCAACCAACTATGGGCAGTTTGCTGCCTGTTGACGAACTACCAAGGCCCCCTGGACATCAAAGGTGACAAGCCTGTCTAGCTGGTTGGATTTAGCACATTCCCCAGTTATTAATGACAATTAATCAAATGTAATGTATACATGAATTGTATATCTGTAATGTATATTATTTTGTTTATATGTTATTTACATTACAAATCAAGAGATTAACACATGAATTGTATATATGTGATGTTCATTATTTTGTGTATGATATGTTACTTATTTACATTACAAAGTCAAGAGATTAACATTTGAATAAAAAGAAGTAAACACAGACCCTCACATCACATATTCCTCATTTTTATCTAAAATGGGATCACAGCATGTCAAGTAGAATAACTATTTAGTGCAGCATAAAAAACAGAACTGTAGTCAGTTACACAAATACATTTTAGTTTTAATTCATTAAAAGGCACATGTAAACATTTCATTTAACATTAATTAAACAGTCTTATTTACAAGGTTATGATTTTTCACTCAACAATTCATAAACTGCATTGATAGCACATACAGTACTCAATGTTTGGACTTGAGAAACACATCCATATAGATGTTGTAATAGAACATGTCAAGCTGCTGCCTCATTGAACGAATGGTGTCTTCATCCCTCCAGACCCTCTGAACTGTGAGATCTGTGTGTGTGCGTGTCAGTTACAAAGTCACACCACTCCAGTCCGCTGATGGCAAGTTGGCCCTGAACCTGCCAGTAATATTTATGACCCTTTTTAAGTGTGGCCTGACCTCTGACTGGTGTTAGGTGCTTAACCTCAGCAACAGAATCGGTACTGCAGCATTTCACTTCCACCAGTCCAAATGGTGGAGTTTCAGTCGGGTCAAAAACTTTGCCATCTGGGCTGACACCAAGGTGAGGTGCATCAGGGTGCACAATGAAGACAAATTAAACAAATCAGAAAACTGTTTTATTATGTCAGGCTCCTGCTTCAGACCCCTTTTCATTGCCAGGGTCTGTGGCGC